TTAGCCTTCTGACACTTTGCATAGAGTTTATTCTATGAGTAAACAATAAAAATCTTAACTGTCAGAAGTACCGCTTAACATGTAAATATTCCGAGATTTTTCGCAACTTGAGCAGCTTCTGACAATCCTTTCTCTTCTACTTAGCCTTATGACGATTTTTTCCTGCTTTTCCTCATTTTCCTCGATATCACTGCAAATTATCAGCCGTGCTGATAGGCAGTTTTTTTTGTAGGAAAATTTACATGTTTCATCGGCCGCCCACGCACTTAGCCTCCAGCGCGCCTTCTGACGATCGGGATTTAGCTTTGCGGATACTCCTACAATCATTTGCATGTAAAATATTGCGTGCTTCGAGGCATGTTGCTCGACATGTTGCCAGCTCTTAGACTATATGCTTAATCAACATCATAAGAAATAAATAAGTATCAAAAGTTACATGATGCAACATATATTATTTGAACTTATATAACTATATAATTGTACCCCGCGACTTCGCCCGCGTGTAATTTGCTTTTAATTTTTTTTGTGCGGAACCCTAAATCTTTTTTTAAAAATTAAAAGTAACCTAAGTTACTCCTTATAACATTAGCTATCTGCCAGTGAAAGTCTCGTCAAAATCGGTCCAGCCGTTTCCGAGATTAGACGGAACAAACAGACAGACAAAAATTTTAAAAATTGAATTTTTGTTATAAGTACCGCATACACTTTTATATGCATTTAGTAAAAAGCTGTTACAGTAAAACTTGGTTAAGTGGGACCTGGATAAGTGAGAAACCTCCATAGCTGGAAGTCATGCTTAGGTCCCAACACTTTAGCACTGAATTACTTCTGTTAGTGGGATAAAACAAACCTCTATATCTGGGATTAGTTCTTTCGATTTTATCTACATAATTACCTCCATAATTGAGACAACGAGTATATTTTACCTCTTTTACTAAAGACAATATTTTGTGTACCGTTTTGTTTACTAACTCTTATTCTACCCGCAAATTCCGCACTTGGCTAATTGTGTAAAAGTGACTTCCAGTTTTAGTTTGGTTTTGTTATCGTCCGGATGTTTATGTTTCTAAGGTGTAAAAATTTTGCCTGTGAATTACCAAAATAATCAAAAAGCTTGGATGACATCTGCTATTTTTGCCGATTGGATGAAAAAATTGAATTAAGTAATGAAATCCCAGAAACGAAAAATTTTGATGTTTGTTGACCATTGTACAGCTAATATGCCCGATCTGAATTTATAAAATTGAAAAAATCTTGTTAGACTTACAAAAGATAAACTAAAATAGTAGATTTTTTTGATTGACGCATTATGTATGCATTTTTGTATTGTTTATAAAAAATATTTTTGTTTAATAGCTTTTTTGATTGTTAATATAGATTACAACTCATGTATAATGTTTACAAAATATGTTATATTATTAAATAATCGCACCTCTATTACTGAAATAACCTCTATTCTCATCTCTATTAAAGGAACCCTCTGTAAATGAGACAGATATTTATTTATATCTGGACATCTGAGATACTGGGTAAGTAGAATACCTCTTTAAGTGAGACAAATTTGCAGGTCCCTTAAGGTGCCAGTTATCCAGGTTTCACTGTATTTTGACATTACAAACAGACACTTCAATTTTATTTATTTGTATAGATATAGATAAGGATAATGGATAAATTAAATATATTGTTGTGTTAATACACCATCATACTCGGAATAAGTCTTCAAGTTCAGTAAACAACTAAATTATACCTACGTATCTAACATAATTGGTCAAATAATTTGAATATTTTTGGACGAAATAATCATTTTAGTTTCTACCAGATATCAGTCTTGTTAGATTTATTTGCGTACCCAATTATAATATTAATTTAAATCTCAAATCAGAATCTGCCCGTACAAAGAGTAACAAAATAATAGGTAACTACGGACAGTAACAAAAATTAAAGGTGTTTCCAATCCTAGTAATAAAATCACTTACAATCGAAATAATCAAGTCTCAAATCTCAAAATTATACCCGTACAAAGAGTAACGAAAATATAGGGAACAATCGACAGTATCAAAAATATAGGTACCTCCAATCCTATTAATCAAATAACTTAAAATCTAAATAAAAATTACCCAAAAAGTTATATTTTGTACCAAAACTAGTATCTGCTAGGCACCTAACTAGGCTGACTGTGAAATTTTTGAGAGCAGTTGCGATCGTCAGTAAGTAAATCGTCAGTAAATTAATTTGGCATGATATGCACCTTATTTTGGTCTTCTTTTTTATCCACCACGACGATAAACTTTTTGCTCGTCATCAACTTCAGGCAAATGCAACGCTCCTTCGTAACGTTCCTTATCTGATAGAATAGGAACAGGTGGGAACCTTTTTCTAAATTTAGAGCGCTGTTGCAACTCTTCTTCCTGTGATTCTTCTACCTGTGACTCTTCTTCCTGTGACTATCCTTCCTGTGACTTCTTCCTGTGACTCTTCTTCTTGTGATTCTTCTTCTTGTGATTCTTCCCTCGGTCCTTCAACGGCATCTTTAAGCATTGTTTTGCCAATATCTAATTTAAACCGCTGAAGTTGTTGAATTGATTTCAGTCTTTTACCTTTATTGAGTTCATCTTGACGGTATAAGATCCAGGAATTGCTCACGGCCAAATCAAGAAAGTGGATAATAATTCGGTGTGTACATTTCTTTGTTCTGTAGCGATTCGGGCATACTGATAACATCCTATCTGCTAAATCGACGCCGCCCATGTTCTTGTTGTAAAGTTTTACAACTTCTGGTCTTGGTACAGTAATGTACCTTCATTCCTTTTTTACCCAGCGTTCGCAGGAATCTATTGTTTTATTAGCAGGTATGTTTGACATAAAAGTCACGGGCTTGCTGTCCACCCATTTTGTTATAACCATTTTTTGCCTTGTTTACATCTGTTTGCCATGATCCCCCTGTTTTCTTTTTAATAACTTTATCGTCGAGTAAAATGTGTCGGGCAGATTGCGAAACCCTATTTTTCATCAAAATCCCTGTATACATCAGTCCTTTATGCTTAAGTGCCATGAGAAGTTTTAACATGTAAAATACCGATCGCAATATATAATATGATCCAGTACTAAGTCTTGTTAGTCAGTACAGCTTTTTCACTTAGACAATACGATGAGCCTTCAAGATCTGGATAAGTCGTGTTGCCTTGATAAATGTGGTAATTACAGACAAGCCCATTTGGCGTCGCAAGTACGAAGGCTTTCAACCCTACAGGGTTGGGCTTTCCTGGCCAGTACTGCTTCAAACCACATGTTCCTTGGAAAGGTATCATCATCTCATCGATTGCAAGGTCTTTAGTCTTTTCCTGGATGTGGCAACCTTTCAAAACAGCGTCAAGCAGTGGTCGTACCTTCCATAATTTATCTGCTTGTTGTTCTTCAGTACTGACGTCTTCATATAATACCAATTTTATTGAGTTACTGAGAAGCAAGAAACGATCTCTTGGCATATTGTTGGCAATTATTCGTATTCTAAATTCCTTTGATCAGTACATCCTTAGCGTTGATAGTTTATAGACATTATCATTTGGCTAGCTATAGCTATGTAAGTTTTGCATTCATCACAAGTTATGTTTAATGACTGCGTGTTTCTAGAAAAATAGCTCCAGTTAGAGTTTTCTACGATATTTTCGATAACTGTGTCATCAATATAGTGGTAAAAGTAATTCATTTTACTAAAATGATCTCTTTGTGTAGGCAAATAAGCTGGTTGTATTTAGTGGAACGGTTTCTGGATCAAAATCGCAATCTTCCCATTCGGAATCTTCAGAAACTTCAACATTTTCGGTTGCATTTAATTCATCAGCTGGATGCAAGACTGATCGCTCCCGAACCCGACTGCGGCTTGCACGAGATCTACGAGCATTTTGGACCTGTCGTTGCGATCGTGTTGGTTTACGGCACCTTCCTCTATCCCTTTGAACTACTGGTACATCATTTTCAGATTCTTCAGAACTTTAGGAGCTTTCTTGGTTTTGGTTTATGTTGAAATCGTCGTCTGCAACACCATCTCCAAATGGCTCATACTCTTCTAGATCTGACTGATCTAAAACTTCTAAAACTTCTTCGATTTGTTCATCTCGCATTGAATTGACTGAAAAGGATAGGTATTAATAAGTAAAAGTACCGGTAATTCTTACAATATCTGTAACTAAATTTCACTGTGAAGACGAAACCGGCCAAAAGCATAATTTGCAAAAATAAATCCAATTAATTAGTGGTAACAACCCACATACCTTTTAAAATCTAAGAATATGTAAATACCCGAATACCTTCTAAGAGGTGATCGGATCGTGCGAGGTTATTTTACATGCAATTTCTTTATTTTCGCGTTAATCTTCATGTTATTGTAATCATTATATATTTGTCAACAAATAGAGTAAGATACTTTAAATAAAAAACCTAAGATCACATCTAAAATCATGGATTTATTTACCGAGTCGCCTACGTCTGGCCATCTTGACTGAGAATTCGCCGAAAATGACATATTTTGTTTTTCTATTGGCACTATTGCTTAACCACAGACAAAAATACTTTCCAGTAGCCGGCGCATTCAAATTACATGTCTTTTAAAAAATACTTGGGCGTTTATTTCATGAAATTGGATAACATCTTCGTCCCGTACCACTATCGAGGAGCATACCTTTTAAAAGGCAACTCGCGTTATAAGGTTATATATATAGACATAATGTACTAGAATAGTTCTGCGTAGTTGATAACTTCTGATTACGTTTAAAAGTTGTCAAAATTGGCCTGGATATCATCAATTCAAAACGTCTTAGTAAATTAAATGTTTGCTTAAATTGTTTCAAATTAGATCCTTAAATTTTACTAGAAGAAGTTTTAATGTCAATGTTTGTATGTCAATGTTTGAATGTGTGGGAAAAAGTTTAATACCAACGGAATGACTAAGAATTCTTTTATTCATTTATATAAGCTTACTAATCAGTGTAAAATATTTCCAGATCGAGGAACGCGAAAATATATATGTCGGTTAGAAAGTAAATGTCGCACTTAAACATTGAAGAAGACGAAAAACGGTAAGATGTCATGTAATTTTTACACAAGCTGGTGCCCGGAGCGTTACTGCTATAAAAAAAATAATTGTGGAAATATCGTTTTAAATCTGAAAGAGTTATATTGTTTAATTTGGGAATGAAAATACATTCATTGAAATTGAATGATATAATAACTTTCAAATAAATTTGGTACCATACACGTGCCACCTATTGTAACTTAATTGAACTATGCCTATAACCTTCGCGCATGTGCAAGCAATAAGTTCACAAAGTTTTACCACAATCTGATGAATAGTATGGCAGCGTATATAATACGAACAAACATTTGATAACGAACAAAACATTCATTTTTATATATTAGTTAATACAGTTTGTAAGTAAAAGAAATACATAAATACCACACAGTGAAATATATTAAATATAAATGAACATAATAATGAGACTTTCTAAATATAAATACGTTATTTAATAACATGAAAGTGCTAATTTTGCGAGCACTCAAACTGGCAAAAAAGGTTGATGATGGTAAGATTACCTGACGACATTATAATTTGAAGTCAAAAGACAACTACAACACTTCATTCCACTGCTTTTTTAATCTATAAACCTATTTTTATTTGAATCTTGTAATTTTTGAAGTTCGACAAGTACTTGTAGGATGGGATTGTTATATGATGCACTAGTTACGTTCAGCTGGATAATTTGTCTATTATATTATCTAAGATAATTCGTTAACATTTTTAACAACCTTTCATTATCATAATAAAAAAAACATATTTTTGCTATTTTGTCGCGAAACATTTTATGTAATTTGTATAGAAATAACTGTTATATAACTTAGGAGACGTCTATTTATTACGAAAAGATAATTTAGGCGATTTTTCTACCCACTCCTATTAATGTACGCCCCTCAGCTTTATTATCAAATTGATAAATAATTTTTATCTGTCTTTTTTTCAGATTTCATGGATGGTGTTTAACCCTTTATAAGGCATAAGCATCTAGGGGTGGATAAGTAAAACTGTTGATGGTTTTAGACTATTTTTATTATGGTTTTTCACAAAATGCAAATAAGAAATTCAAAAATTTAAAAAAACACGGTGGTAAATATTTTCCCGCTGCCCGTGACGCCTTAACTAGCCTTTCCTATGAAATGCAGTAAAACATGGTGTTATGCAGAGCGGAACTTTGCATTTTTCACATATAACTTTCGATCTTTTGTCTTTTTCTTTTGTGCTACACATTCTGCAACGTTTATATGAAGGCGATTCAACGGGCATATGGTCTCCAAGGTTGGTGAAACGAACTTCCTCTGCGACAACATGCACTGCCTTTTGGCGATTCTCAGAAGCAATTTTTTTTCTGCAGATATAGTTGACTAAACTACCAGATCGTCGTTTTCTACTGGAAAACCCACTGATCAGTCCTCTAGCGACAGAGACTCGAAATTCAAGATTGCTTAGTTTTGTCGCATTCTTATTTTGGCAATATAACAAGTATGCATTTGTTATACTTGTATCTAAAAGGAAAAAGAATATTCGGACCCACCATCTCCTACTTCTTCTGCCTACTGAATAGGTACTTTTTATCTGATCAAAGTGATCAACGCCTCCCATCCTTTTAGTATACTCCTTTATTGCTAACGGGCAGTTGATTTCTTGTTTTGTGCCGTCTTTCTGAGTCCGTAAGACAGTGGTTTTGCCAACTTTTGGATGGAATGCATTACTCAATAGGAGAACCTCTTTGGTATCTTGCCAAACTAAGAAAGATACATTTCCCTTGACTCTCCATTTATATTGTCCTTTTGCAAGCTTCTGATTCGTTTTTACAAGTACAGGCAGATGTTTTCTGTGTCTTCGTACAGTTCCTGTAGCATAAATGCCATTTTCATATAGATATTGCATTAGAGTGTAGTCACAGAAGAAATTGTCAAATGTAATAATAATATGATATTCCTCCAGTGCTTTATTTGTCAGCTTTTCAGTCAACATCTTCACAACTTTGGATCCTAGTCCTTCCTCTGTTCCGGTTTTTGATTTTCCAGTGTATATGTAGAATTCATAGAGATACCCAGTTTTACTGTCACAGCGACACCATACCTTGTAACCTCTTTTTATGGGCTTTAGAGGCATATACTGTTTCATGGAAGACCGGCCTTTGAAGAGAATCATCGATTCATCAATACTTTGCGATGAGGAGTCTTTGGCATTTTTCTGACATGCCTGAGTGATAAGATCCAATAATGGGCGTATTTTGTAAAGTTTGTCATAGTTCTCGCTTGTCTTATCTGGTATCTGTGTATTATCATTCACGTGCAGATTTCGCAATATCTTCTTGAATCGCTTTACGGTCATAGTCTCTGCTATTTCATCTACCCTGAAACCAGGGTCGGAAGACCAATAAAGGTCAATAGAAGGCAGAATATTGTATCCCATTATTATAAAAATCCCTACAAAGGCCTTCAGTTCTTTTTTATCTAATTGTGTCCATCCTTCATCTTTCCTTTGCTCTGCATATAAGTTTGTTTGATATATTATCAAATCGTAGACTTCATCAGTGAAGAATTTTTCAAATACAGTTACAGGTCTAGTACGGCTGCTAAACATAATTGCCGGTTCCATCGGAATTTCATCGTAAACGCTAGGACTTGGCCGATCAGTTGTCCACATAGTTTTTTTCCATGTTTCCTCTTCGCCGTCTGAATCATCTGTTTCCGAATCTGAGTTAGTATTTGCTACTGGTGATTGTGGTTGTCGCCGTAAGGTCTGTTGAGTGCCAGAAGTACTGGGTGCATTTTGGATTATTCTTGCCCGCCTAAGCCGGTCACTGTTGGTTGGTTGAGGTGATGGACTAGGTTGGTTTTCAACAGACGCATTACTTATATTACTAATAAGACTATCAGGTGGATCAGGTGTGGGTGCTAGAATTCCATCATGAGGCTCATCAAGGCTCTCTAAAATTCTTTGAAGTTTCACTGTACTGTACTGCACATCTTCTTCATCGGATTCCAAATTATCATCTGACACATCGGGATCATCAGGTAAACCAAAAATCTCTTCTAATGCACAAGCTATTTCCAAGTCATTCAGTGCCTTTTCATTCATTTTCAAAATATAAATCTGTAACAACCAATACATACTGTCAGCTCCACGGGCAAAGGGAACATTTTTACCACCACAAAAAGCCCCTACTAACAAAATCTGCAAAATGTAGAATTGAAAATATGCTTGAATATCAATGAAATATACAATAAGCTTTAGAAATAATAACAACTTACCGTTCATGAGTCGCAGATATAAAAGATTTATAAAGATTTTAGAAGTCGTACCGAAACACACCCGATTTCAGTCTTCCAAACGTCACAGTGTAAAATCTAAAATGGCGACGTGTCATTGCCATAGATGAAAAATGTTGACCGGATATCCATAAAAATGTTGCCAATAGGAAAAAATCTTTCCCTAAAATTTGATTAACTAATAATGTGAAAATTAGTGGTGGGAAATATATTCCCGCTGCCTTAAAAAGGGTTAACATTCCTAATTTTAATTATATGACAAACCGCCTTATTGAAGATATTTTTAAGATAAACTGTGATATTAAGTAGTTACCTTTTTAATTATATACATAACTAATAATAAAGATTTATTCTGTAGTGTTTGGTCTTTTTTTTTAAGTATTTATTTATGTGTATTTACTATTTATTATGTGAAATTATTCGTAGTAATGTTATAACACACGTGACATAGTAGTCATTACCATATACATCCAGCTTATCAAATGTTCACTGTTTTCTCCATAGACTGCATCCTACGATCCCCCCTTTGAGGAATTCCTCCTGGCGTCCTCCCTAGGTTATTTGCCATAGTTTCACCGCCTGGCGGGTTGTTGCTATCCCAAGTATTTTTATTAATTTGTTATTAGTAAGATACCGCTACTGTAGATTTCGTAGCTCGATAGGTTAAATGAACGCACTGGGGTGGATCGTATAATATTTATATTAAAAACTTGTACAAAGGTTTGTCAAACTACCTATCTCCTGTTTCAGTTTCTCTTATGATGATTATTCTCAAGATTTTTTTTATAACATAAGTTTGCCAAACGAGCACACAATCCACTGATAGCAAGTGAATGATGTGGCCACCTAGACATATGCATTTAAACAGTAAAAACATGTTATTTTTGTAGTCATTAGCCGCGTACACCTGCGAGCCATTGCCTCGGCTGATGTCGACATGCCTCGGACTGCCTCGGGCGCACATTGCCTCGCCCGAGCGCCGCTTGACTGCGAGCCATACGTTGTCGGTAAACTTGACGCGCTCAAAGGTGCCTTAATGATCGCTGTTCGTGTGGTGTGTACGGTGGTATTTTGGCTCGCTAGGCTATAGTGTTTGCATAGAATTATTACGTACAGCATCCTACTACACGCACCGAAAGTGATGCAAGTCAAACTAACGCGAAACCGCGAAAGTTCACTCAGCGATCTGTCAGTGCGCATCGTTTCGTCTTACGGAGAAGAGCTCGCGACAAATTGTAAAAATTACTTAGAATATTGTCGCAACAGTGATGATAAATATAAAAAATGTGATGGTATAACATTTCAGAGATAAATTCATATATTTAATTCATTATTATTACGTAAATCACTCGTAAAACCAAAAAAATACCTAAGCTATCATGATACAAATGTTGCTAGTTGTGAGGAAAAAAATTGCACAATTTTTATTTATAAATCTTTAATATCTATTATTTATTTTAAACGTTAAATCGCAACGCTATGTGTAAAACTCAAACATTGAAATGTAGATACCTTGTTATGTAAGTATTACCATAATATTAACAATTGGTGCGTCATGGGTGCCTATTATAAACGATCTATTGACGCCATTTTGACGCTGTTTTATTTTTATTGCGTTGTTCATTGACCAAGTAAAAGTTTTAGATAATAGAATAAAGAATTTTTATTTCATTATCATCATTATTCACAATGATGTTGACCCTTCACAAGTCCACTGCTGAACATTGGCCACAAAACACGGTCCTGGCAAGGTATGCCACAAAACACGGTCCTGACCCACCTGCATCTATCGACTTCTTGCATATCTTACCAGGTCGTCACTCCATCTAGTGGGGGGACGCCTTACACTTCGTCCGCCTGTACGAGGCCGCCACTCGAGAACCTTTTTTCCTCATCGGTTGTCGGTTCTTCGAGCTATATGGCCGGCCCATTGCCACTTCAGCTTACTAATCCGTTGGGCTATGTCGGTCACTCTGGTTCTACTGCAGATATCCTCATTTCTAAGTTTATCACGAAGAGAAACTCCGAGAATAGCCCTCTCCATAGCTCGCTGAGCAACCTTGAGTTTCCTCATCCGGTCAGCAGAGAAGGACCACGTCTCTCTTCCATAGGTCATCACTGGCAACACGCACTGGTTGTATAGTCTCGTTTTCAAGTTTTGAGGTATACCTGACGAGAAGATGTGCCGTCATTTCCCGAACGCTGCCCAACCGAGTTGGATCCGTCGATTGACATCTCTGTCGAAGTTGGTCTTACCTAGTCGGACTATTTGTCCCAGGTAAACGTACTCGTCAACAACTACGAGTTTAGAGCTCCCAACTACTACCGGCATAGGTGTGACATGGACATTAAACATGATCTTTGTTTTGTCCATGTTCATCTTAAGACCTATCCGTTGGGAGACACTATTGAGGTCATTGAGCATAGTGCTTAGGTCCTCCAGCGATTCTGCCATAAGGACTATATCGTCGGCAAATCGAAGGTGAGTGTGTACTCGCCATTGATGTTAATACCGTATCCTTTCCAGTCAAGTAGCTTGAAAACGTCTTTCAATGCAGCGGGGAAGAGTTTCGGGGATATAACGTCGCCATGTCTTACACCTCTCTGCAGTTGGATAGGTTTCGTACTCTGTTTCTGTACTCGGATAGCCATCGTAGCCCTATTGTACAAACACTTCAGCACTTCGATATACCGATAGTCAATTTGGCACCGCTGAAGGGACTGTAGCACCGCCAAAATTTCGACGGAATCAAAGGCTTTCTCATAGTCCACATACGCAAGGCATAGTGGCAGATTGTACTTTTCTGTCTTCTGTACAATTTGCCGAAGGGTGTGTATATGGTCCATGGTACTAAAGCCTTTTCGGAAACCGGCTTGTTCCGGAGGCTGGAAGCAGACTCGACGACTTTCAGCCTCCCGAACAAGCCGGTTTGTTTGTGTGCGAGACGATTCGTAATGACTCTCGAAAACAGCAAGCGACGCGGCTCAGAAGGGAAATCGGTCTGTAGTTCTTCAAGAGAGCGTTATCGCCTCTCTTGAAAAACAAGACCACCGTACTTCTGCTCCACGCCTCCGGAGTAGTACCATCATGGAGGACGGAATTAAAGAGCTTCTGAAGGACTTCAAATACCGGTTTTCCACCCGCTTTCAGAAGCTCCGCTGTAATTTCATCCTTGCCCGGGGACTTGCCGTTTTTAAGGTGCTGGAGAGCCATTTTAACCCTAGAGCGGTCGCGCATATAAATATATCATAAGAGGTCGCGCGGATGACGTGTGTCATCCATTTGCCAATGATAATTTATAATAATAATACCAATATTTTGGGTGCATATTTTTATTGAAAGTAACTGACATAATATCACCTACATAACTAACCAAAAAATGAATAAAAAAGAAGGGTTTTAATTAAAATTAGGAACTTGCTTCTGAGATCAACTTTTGATATTAGCTATAATTATGAGAGACTAAAAATATTCTTAGGTATGATTTTCATAACAACTATTGCACATATAATTGCAATGGTCGGGACAAGTAAATTTTCCACATAATTGGCATGATATACGCGTGGTTTTATTACGTTTTCTTCCACACAAAAAGCAGCGACCACGCGCGCCTCCACGAGGAGAACTCGCCACTTTTTGTGGTTGTTCGTCTAATGGAATACCCAAAAAATCGCTTATTCTAAGCTTGAGGATCTTCGGTAAACAATCAGTACTCATTCTTCTACTAGCCAAAGGTTTCATCATACCCAACGCAATATCAGAAAGAAACTCTCGACGTAATACTTTTATTAGTCCATTGTTTGCTTTGTATATGCATAAAGCATTTATGGCACTTATATTCATCAAATTAAAAAAAACCGTCAGCGGCCATCGCCGTGAGTTTCTGGCCACATCATACAAGGAACACATTTTGTCCACTAGGTCTACCCCATTCTTTGTTCGATTATAATATGTAATAATATCTGGTTTACGTTTGTCACCAGAACTCTCGTCAATACAACCATCATTATGTACAGTTGACAAAAGTAATACAACCTTATTCTTTTTTGGCACATATGAAACTAAGGTAGTGTTTTCATGAAAACCAAACAAAGACGAAAATTCAGTTCTGTTTGTAGTTGTTCGGAATGCCTTCGGTACCTCTCTTTTATCCTTTCTAATTGTACCAACGACAGTGGTTTTATTTTCAAAAAGCTTCTTAGCTGCTTTGAGAGAAGTAAACCAGTTGTCCATTGTTACGTTTCTATTTTCACCATGAATAGGTTCAGTGACTTTCAGAACTACGTCAAACCGATTATTGCTTATTTCGAAGGGACCGGGGTTACTGCCTCCATATATTTCCAAATTGTATGTGTATGGACGTTCACAATCGACCAGGGCAAATATTTTGATCCCATATTTCGCTGGCTTGTTGGGAATGTATTGCCGAAATCGGCACCTGCCTCTGTACGCTATCAATTGTTCGTCTAAAGTCAGTTCAGAACTTGGTGTATAATGTTTTTGAAAATTTTTGACAATTTTCTGAAATAAATCACGAATAGGTGCCAACTTGTCAACCATTATCCTTTGCGCTCTCGTTGTAGGATCATCAAAACGAAGGTTTCTCATCAAAAACTTGAACCTTTGTACATTCATTGTAAGATAAACAGCTTCCATCCCGGTCCCTTTCTTAGCGTCAAACAACTGCAAGATATTTTCCCTTCCAGATTTTACACTCCCACAGAGATATAAAATGCCCATTAGTCCTTTTATTTCTAACTCATCAGTTATTTTCGCATCTCTATCCCTTGAATATTTATTTTGCTCAATTAGTATACGTTTATTTGTGGAATCCGTTATCATAGCTACAATTTCATCATCAAGAAAGAGAGACAAACAATCTAGAGAAGTAGCCTTCGTTTTCGCTATTTCTCGAGGACCTGATTGTACACGTACGATGTTTTGTTGGCGCATCAAACGTCGAGCACGAACTTGTTCCTTCAGCCATCTAGTATTGTCAACACCTTGGTAAAATAAATTTGAAAAAAAAAATAAAAGTGGTACCTCGTCCTCATCCGTGAAAACATGTGCGGGGCTTGCGGAACTAGCAAATGTTTGGTTCAACTCAAATTCACCTAAATCATGGTCACCATCTTCTTCTGAGTCCGTATTTTCGCCCTGGACTTCTAGGTGATCCGACTCTTCGTCATCAGAACATGGAGTACCCTCTAAAATGTCCTCATCTTCCTCCAATAACCATAACTCGATTTGCTGATCTCGGTTTGCCATTTTTAGTTCTAAAATAAAAATTAAAAACAATTTTTTTAGCAAAATAGCTATAAGAAATTACTAATTTTATTAAATAAATATTATTT